GTATCTATAATTAGTAAAACTAATAAAGTTACAGAGGGTAAGACCTCGCTTTCAAAACTAAAAAAAAAAAAAAAAAATACTTTAATCATAAAAATATTTATCAGTATATATATATTTTGATTTAGCCTTTTTCTTAAATTTCACATGCTCTATTTGATACATAGATAGTAGAGTGTAACCCGTGCAGCATGTGAACAAAAATTGATTGGTTAAATGATTTGTCCCTGTGACTGTAATCATCTGACTTGTCGTTCTTTTTGAAATTTTTATTGGCTAATTCGCATAATTTATAGATACTTTTATTCTTAACGCTTATACGATATAATATGTCGTCATCACGAAGATACACATTTTCGGTTTATTTCTTTTCGTTACCTAATGAGAATAGCTTACTAAAACTACAATTAATGAATAGGACTTTATTTCAAATCACATTCATTTATCATTGTATGTAAAGACACGAAACATAATATGATTTTGTGTATGGCATCACACGTGACTTACTATCGCGTCCACTATTCCCGCATATTGGACGCGACAGATGTATATGAAAACAAACCGTAAAACATTCATATTAATATTTAACGAGTTAAAATATTTGTACAGAATATTTTATTTATCATTATATGATAATAATAAAAGAAAAAAAAAGGCTACAAAGAAAAATAATGCTAATCTTTTTTTTGTAACTTTAATAAAGAAAAATAATTAAATTGCTCTTCGTGCAAGATATGCAAGATATATATATTTAATATTAAAGCTGATAACAGCCATGTAAATTAATATCAATATTTATTATTCTCAATTATAAAAAAATATATTTAGAATGCAAAGATACTTAAGATCAATTATTTTCGTCTTTTACAGTGCTATTATTAGCCACTTCATCGTTATTGGATAAAGATGTACTCTTTCTCTTTGCTTCGTCATCGTTATCATTGGACAATGTTGTACTCTTCCTCTTTGCTTCGTCGTCAGACAAAGGTGGTGTACTACTTCTCTTTGCTTCGTCGTCACTATTGGACGATGTACTCTTTCTCTTTGCTTCATCACTGGTGGACAATGTACTCATTCTTTTTGCTTCATCATTAGTGGACAATGTACTTCTTCTCTTTGCTTCATCGGAAAAAAGAGTACTCCTTCTTTTTCCATTATCATCATGATTGGGAAACAATAAGCTCTTTCTATTTGATCCATCTACACCTAATACTCGTTTTTCAACATCTTTAATCACAGCCACTACATTGTCCAACCAGTGGGATTGTCTTTCTCCAGGTTGAACTACCTGTTGTATGATCGTATTTTGTACTATAGTTTCGGTAATAATTTCATTATTTATGTTTTCTACATTTGTTGTATTATTTACCTCATAATTTTTGATCTCATTATTGTTCTTTATCTCGTTAATATTTTTGGTCTCATAATTATTAATATTAATCGTTTGAACGTTTTCTATAGTTTCAACACATAGATTTTGTGAATCTAACTCTTCTACAACATTAATGTTTTGAATCTTTGCATTCGTACCTTTTACATTTTCAACGTTTTGAGTACCAATATATTGTGTCTCAACTCTTGTTTCAACGTATTGAGTTTCAATATTTTCCACGTATTCAACATTATCCATTTTTATTTCAACATTCACATTTTCAACATTCATCTTTTCAACATTTCCAACGTTATCGACTTTTTCAACATTTTCAACATTTTTAATGTTATCAACGTTTTCCACCAATTGATTCTCAACATCAACACTTTTTCCAACGTTAACATTTACGTTTTCAATTTTAGTTTCAACATTCTCAACAAATTGATTCTCTACATCAACTTTATTTTCGATATTTTCTATAAATTGCCTTTCGATAGTCGTATTTTCAACGTTCAACGTTTCAACTTTCTCGATTTTTGTATTGATATTCTCAATATTGGTGACATTTTGAGTTTCCACATGACTACCAATTTCCACTTTTTGTTCGATATTATAAGTTGTTGCGACGTTATAAGACTGTTGACGAATTTGATCTTTTTCATAATCAGTACGTGCAGTTTCAATGGTCTTTAAAATCTTTTTTTTGTCTTCCCTGAGAACTTTAATTTGGTCCAAAATCAATTTCCGTTGTTTTCCTTTACCCACGCCCCATGTATTCAAATGATCTTCTATCTATTTATTATTAAAAAATCGTTTTAAATGAATGAATATAATGAATGTAAAATTTTAAAATTGAATACTATTCAATTAATATATTTAATACGTTTAATACATATTTAGATTAATTACCTTAGAGCCATGCACCGCATCAACTAGTTCATGGATAATCAAGAGGAGCTCAATTGCTTTAGCTGATAATTGTTTCTTAACATCCGCGTCAAGAATTTCTTGACAAAATTCAAGTAGATTAAGTGAATGATTATTTCCTGATTCAGATGGTTGTGGGAATTCCATCACCAAACGCTCCATTAAAATTAGATAACCTATTAATAGAGTATCAACATTGTCGGGTAACGAACAAAAGAATACACCACTATGAACGGAATTGAAACAAGTAAATTATTTAGTAAAAAATTAAAATTTCAAGATTCTAATTAAAGAAAAACATTTATTTAATTAAATTCACCTTCCACGTTTAAGAACTTTATATTTAACATTTTTTACAGCAATTGCAGTTCGTTTCTCTCTAATATGTTTAAATTCATCACGTGCTATATTGTACAGCTTCGTCCAAAATTCCGAATAACCTTCAGGTTTTTGTTTTAATTCATGGAATTCTTCAAGAATTATCCTCCATTTTTCGTACCATTCTCCTGCTGGATATTCAAACTGTTTTATCAAGAATTAAGAATAAATATATATATGTATGTAATTAATATAATTAATAACAATTAATAACAATTATTAATAATCAAATACAGTCAAATAATAATAAATTTAATAAACAATTACCGAAAAAGATTTAATAGCACATGCAAAAGCTGCAAAATAATTCTTAATTGCAGCATGAGCAGCAGCATCAGCAATATTTCTCACAAATATAAGACCATATTCCAATTTTGTTTGATCATCTTTAATTTTTTTCAAGCAACATCTAATTTCACGAAGATAGAATGTTATATTTGGATTTATTTTAGCGGTTGTACGTTGTGATGCATCCCAGAATCGAGCAATGCTTTTATAGAGGCGTTCACGAGTTTCTTGTTCTAACATTGAAACCGATCTTGAAGCTATGTGGACTACTGCAGACATTGCTTTTCTATAATAAAGAAAATATTAAACAATGGGAACAATATATGGGAACAATATATGGGAATGATGTATAGGAATGATGTATGGGAACAATATGTATGGGTGAGTATGAAACAAACAATCGAATCAAACTTACAAATGAAGTTCCAATTCAGCAGTAGTTTCGCCATATTTGAGAATTTTATAATCGCCAAGATATACGGCAGATCTTGTAACAAAAGTTTGAACTAAAAAAAAAAAATTGAATCAGATGTCTTAAAACTCACGTATAAATTATATATCATATAGATCATCAGATTAGATTCATACCAACATTACAAGTAATTTCTTCTTCAGGCACATTCGTTAAAGATTCCATGACAGCAACTATCTCGTGTAATGCAAAGTCTCGCGCTCTTTTTAAAGAAATATAAATATATATATTTATATATTAGTATATAACTATCTAACCTCTGTCTTATCTTAAATGATGAATCAACTTACAAGTTGTTCTCTTTACGTAAATTATTCAAAACAACCTGATATTTTGTAATCTCACTCATATTCAAATCATTCTTGACTACCAATTCACCATCATTTTCAATTTTAGTAGCAACTTTAGCATCATCGGCTTTCATCGCCTCGGTAACCGCAGTAGAAAGTCTTTTGTCTATCGTCGTTTTCCGATCAAGGTTTGATTTTTGCTTTTCACCCTCTGCATTTTCATCCTTTGCATTTTCATCCTTTACATTTTCATCCTTTGCATGTTCATCCTTAGGATGTTCATCTTTTGCATGTTCATCTTTTGTATGTTCATCCTTTGCATGTTCATCTTTTGAATGTTCATCTTTTGAATCTTTTGAATGTTCATCCTTAGCATTTTCATCCTCTTTTAAAGAAGAAAAATTCATCTCTTGTGGAGATTTAACGAGACCTTGATTATCATTGGAAGTTTGTTCAAGAGAAAGCGTCGTAAGTGTATCTTTCGTGCCTTCTAAAATTTTAATATGTTTTGAAAGTGACGTTGTTGTGGTTGTCATTTTCGTCTTTAAAATTAGATATTTAAAGAACGAAAAACAAAAATTTTCGTTTTATAACTTGCACGTTAAAACAGAGTATTAATATTAGATTGATATTTTTGCTCGTTAAAAAAAAAATATATATTAATATTAGATTAAAAGAAGAAAAAAAAAAACAATATAAAAAAAAAAAAAAAGAGGAGAAAAAGTAAAATGATGGTTTCTAAAAAAAAAATCAAGATTTCGAGAATTATAATGAAAATTTAATCGGATAGGATTGGTTTCTTCGTCTTTTTAAAAATGATTGGTCAAGATACGAATAGTTTCCGCTGTGAAAATTAAAATTTTGCTTTATAATATGAATATTCTATTTATTTTATATATCCTACTCTCAAATATAAGATACTGTGTAATTAGAAGAAATAATCTATGTAAGTATGCATGCTAAAAATATAAAATCAAAATTTAAAAACGTGGAGAAGTTCCACGAAAACTCCGAAACTATGTAGAAAAATAGAGAAAATTTGATATATATATGAATTTTGTTTGAGACCGAGTCTACTCGACGCCTCGTCCATTCAAATAAAATTGATTTGGTAATTTAAAAGGATGATGTCTAATAAAATACTGTTGCACGAGTCCATTACGTTTAGTATGACCATTGAGATTTGGTTATGGTACAGTTCTCACCAGCGTGGAAAAACATTTTGTTTGATAGATTATCGATATCATTGGCTTTCCTTTTTTTTTGATGGTCACTATCCTTATCGTTATTGTTTAAAATTTATTTGTAGTACAGTAGTAGATCTACGACATTTGGTTTATCGTTTTAAGTAAAGGCTCCTTTAAAGAAGAAACAAGGATGATGATGTTTATCGTTATGATTCGGTGAGAAAAATGGATTTTATATTAAAGAAAATTAAATATTTATTTGTATTTGTACTGTATATGCAGTGGTGATATGTTATATGTATTGAATATATGCTTATATATGCTTATATTACCGTATGCTACTGATGCTACCCGTATGCATAACATTAATGTCAGGGAATATCTCAACCTTTTTTATGTATGCTACTCCTAACTCAAATTCTTATCAAATTCTTATTTTTAGGTCATATCGAATTCTAACCTTCGAATTTAATCGATTCGAAATGATTCGTGATTTATTTAATGTTCTAGATTACAGGATTATAGGTAGGAGTCTGTATGTACCTATCATTTCGCGTACACTTGATACTATTATTAAACTTTTATTATGCATACATCAACTTCATTTCATGCTCAAATGTTTTGTTTATTACCACCAATGTTGATAGAAATATTTATTATTCCCGTTAATCCTTTGGCATAGATAAAAAAAACATTTATTAATACTGTAATAAAAAAATACAAATATATGCACCATATCTCATCATTTCATTTTATGGAGTTTACAAACCTGTAGAATTCATTTATGCTGTAATTGGTGCATATATATGCTTTGTCGATACGTACGTACGTGTAGTGAACCAAACAGCATAAAATAACCTTCCTTGACGTTTATACGTACGTGATTCAGTTAATATGCGTTAAAACCATGAAATCTTTTCACCTCATAATTCTAACATTGATAATGGTTTCTTTGAACTTCACGCTTAACGTTAAATTCTTATTTATACAACTCCGGGAACAATATCCTATTAAAGTGATATACGTATTCAACATTACCAAATTTTTTAGATCCCCGGTCTAAATTAGATTTAGAACAGGTTGACGTTTGGGCCCGATGTATATAAAAAGTTGTGACTGCTATTTTTCTGTATATATATGGTACGTATACACGTACAAAACCTGCATTAAAAAACCGCCATAACATTAATAAATAATTTATTTTTAATAAGATTTCATCTGGCATAATTCGTAGAAACATTAGTATATAATTTCAAATATACCTTTCCACGTTAAATTTTTTCGCGCTTTTTTAAGTTATTTTTATTATTTGGTTTATAAAATGGAAAATTCCAATAATCATAATACATGCATGTGTTTATTTGATTTACATTATACGCATCGGTATTTTACATAACTTAATGTTACGTATGTGAAGATTTCTCTATTGATCCATTCTAGGGATTAATAATAAAAAATCCATATTAGGCACACCGATTTGCAGAAACCTATTGATAAAAAAAGAAAATTTTTCCTAATGTAAATATGTAATACAAAGATTGTACGTATATACACAAGAAATTAAAGCTACTTGGCGGTCCGATCTTTGCTTCGGATAAGAATTTTGTAAGTCATTTTTTACTGAATTTGCATGAGTTTTAGAATTGAGACAAGAATTACGTACAAAGTTCTCGAATAAAGCTAATTCTAATTTGGGGTATGTATATATATAAGGTAAAAGGGGTATCATGGAATGGATAGGTAAAAAGTGGCTGATTGCCACTTTACCTACACCGCCTCTTCCTTATTGTTATATATATATATATATATATTATATTTTATTTAAAATGAAAATCTATACGTATAATTAAATGTACTCCCAAAATCGCTGATTATATTATCGTTATTTCCTGAATAGTGTTCGAAATTTCAAATACTGTTTTCATGAGAACAATAGAATAGCTATAAATGTTCTCAAAATATTGTTTTATGTTCGTGCACAATATATATATATATATATAATACAATATATATATATCTATATATATATACACAATATATATATATATAACATATATATATTAGAAATACATATTATATATGAAGACATTATTTTACTTTTCACACAATTTTAATAGTGACCGGTAAAAAATGTATACTGTGTACAAACTAATAACAATGTTCTCATGAGAACTCTGAGAACTCTGAGAACACCAATTTCGAACACTGATTTTGAAATGTCAGCCTAACGCTAACCCATATGGGTTAGCAGATTCAGATAAGATAGTAAAAGTCCTGTTCGATCCTGTTCGATCCTGTTCCATAGAAGTTCGAGTTTAGAACTACTGTAAGTATTATATCATGTGAAATTTACATTCCTTAAACTTCGGTTTTTTCATTAGCGTTAGTAGAACAAAATCTGAAATCCCCAAATTAAAAAAAAAAATCAATAAACTGGAACTTTAAGAACTTTGGTCCTAAAACCAAAACCGGTTTCTTAGAACTTTGTTTTGAACTGTAATTTCGAGTCCTAACCTCAGGTCAAAAAATTTTGAGTAAAAAATATCTTATCTTTAAAAAGCACTATCAACCAATCAAATAACGAGATTATTGTATAATATACGTATAGTAACAACTAAAGATTGTTTTATATTATATAAAGGTTTGTTAAAGCATTGATTGATACTTTAAATTTTCTTTATATTTATCTAAATATAAATAAAACTTGTATTAAAGCCCGTCGTTAAACGACGAGCTATATGGTAAAAGAAATAAACATCATATACCTGTTATATGAATACGCAAGAGCCGTTATATATAAGTGTTAATAAAGGAAAATAAGGCTTTAGGCTTTAATTTTATCATTTATTTTTTGTCGGATTCAGCCTTTTAAAAATCTTATGGTGACATATATCTGATATCGATATATCATACTGTCATATAAATCTCAAAATCTGGAAATCTGAAGTCTCATTTTTCCTTAGCAGCACTTTGGAAACTCCTCGACTTTATGGTATGCACGAATGTTACACTAATATGCAATATCTGAATTTTGTGAAAACAATTTAAATATAACAAAAGAAATGTTGAAAAATTATTGAGTCAAATTTCATACTATGCCGAGAATTGGATACAGTTAATCCTCGTTAGTATCAACCTATTTGGTTCACTTTTATATTCATGATGCTAGTGATAGTGATACTAACGAGAGTTTACATTAAAGTTGATATATAAGAGGAAATTTTGATATATCATATAAAAATTTATAAAAATTTGTTTTGTGGCTTAGGTTGATATTAACACAGGTTAATATTAATGAAAGTCAACTGTACTTAAAGAAAGTATAACGTCTTCTAAGAGCATGGATGAGTGAAATAAATGCATTTCTACTAGCGATAAATTAAAAATAGCTTTGATTAGTAAAAGTTTATATCGCAGTATTTGTGAAATGCAAGTTTTTAAAACTATCTAAAACTATCTAAAACTATAGTTGATACAATTTACGTATTTAGTTGGATTTCCGAAGACAAATCAATTTATAAATTTTTATCATAAATTTCATTAAGAAAATATTCTTTTATGAGAGAAAATCAATAATAAGATTGGGTAAATTTCGGTGCGAAAATCAAAAAGTTCGGGTAAATTTCGGCGCGAAAATCCGTTGTATAAAAATTTTAGATTGCACATCACCCGAAATTATTAACCAATTATTAACCAATAAACACAAAATTTCAAAACACAATAAACTTGATTATCTCAAAATCATATTTTTTCGACTAGCATGGATGAGTGAAATAAAACCATTTTTCATTAGCGATAAATTAAAAATAGCTTTGATTAGTAAAAGTTTATGTCGCAGTTGTTATGAAATGCAGGTTTCTAAAACTATAGTTGATACAATTTACGTATTTAGCTGGATTTCTGAAAACATTTCGAAGACAAACTAATTTAAAAATTTTTATAATAAATCTTATTAAGAAAATATTCTTTTGCAAAAATCAATAATAAAATATTTGGTAGATTTGGTAAATTTGGCGCGAAAATCAACAAGATTTGATAAATTTCGAAAATATCCCCGAATTATTAGAATATGATAAACTTGATTATCTCAAAATCATATTTTTTCTACTCTTTCAACTATAAAGCCCATACTTTACGCTGTGTTTTATTTGTATCTTTGATTTAGCTGATTATAACAATCTTATTTTAATTAATGTTTCATTGACGATTTTGGTGGTTATGCCAGGCGAATTAAGTGTAACAATTGTATATAAATGGGTTCTTTCTTGAAATAAATCAAATGCAATCCAATTCAAAAAAACTTCGATCATTTCTTTTTAATATCTCGTGAATTCGTAAGTCTTATGCTA